ACTTTTCTCATCTTTTTAGAGCCAAGAGATGTTTTTATTTATATAAGAGTTTTGCATATCACATGTTTATTGAATAAGTGATTTGTTTAAAAGCAAAAGTTCGTGGAAGATTAAGATATTTTTCTTAGCTGTGAAGTGGAATTCCTGTAAATGGTTGCATAAATGAAATAAATGTTACTAACTATAATTTAACTTTATTTAGAAAGATTCAATAGACTATAATCTTTGAAATTTTATTAACTGTAGAGCCTCTGAATTAAGAGATATTTTCTACAATTGTTAGCTGTGTGAGAAAATTTACTTAAACTTTCTGTACCGAGTCTTCCATCCATAGCATGGGAAGGATAATTGTACTGGAGAGGCTTGTCATAAGAAATAAAAAGTTAATTCATGTAAAGTACTCAAAAAACACTACATGTTTTTGTCCTTTTTTTTTCTTTTAAATGTGATATAGCATATGCCTTTGTAAGGCTTTTTTAAAATAGGTATTCATTAAATAACCTTTTAATGAGGTTAGATTGCTTGAAAACTGTTGGCATTTTGAGTGTGCTTCAATACTTTTCCTTCTTGCTGAAATGGTCCCATTTTCTAGAATTGTGATTGTCATACAAGGAGAAAAACATTGTCTAGTCTATCATGACACTCATGCAGTCAGTAATGGAGGAAGTGGTCTACATGTCATGGTGAGGTGCTTAACTCAGCTCTGCCTCTAGCAGTATCCACCACACAATATCTCTGGAGCTGATACAGGTTTCTTTAAAGGAAAGAGTTTTGTGTTGCCAGATAGTAATGTTAACTCTTACTAATGTCAATTCACCTATGTACCCTAGGAAGTTGCTGTGTTTTTATAAAAGCAATTGACCTATATCTCTTGATATGATCGAATACAACTTATATATATATATATATATATTTTACAATTACTATTTCTCTACTTTTCCTTCTTGGTAAATGTGGTTTTGTTCAGTAGTCAACCTGGAGTTTATGGCACAACTAGAAGGCCGTACACAGCAGTATACTGCCACTTCAAAATGTTTTCTCCTAAAGTTACTGTAAGTTACATTTGAAAGGACTACCCAAACATGGTTATATTTTCAAGGCCTTAATCTACCCATAGGCTTGGTCTGAGATACCAAATTTCTCTGAATGTGCTGAATTCAATTCACTTTTTATAAACCCTATTCATTGTCCATTTGAGATAAGCCCAAAGACCTGGAAGAATTTATGCAAGATATAAACAGTGAGGTAGTATGCATTCCCTCTGTGCAAGAAAGTTAAAATGGAGAAAACAATATCCCTGCAAGATAAACATGAAACTTATTAAAAATGAAGACCATATTAATTAAGTACAAGAATGAGTACAAAAATGAGTATATGTATTTTAAAAGAATAGCTGATAAGTTTTCTTAAAGAGATGGAACTTGGAGTGGACATCAGCATGTGCCAAAATGCTTCAAATCACATCAATTTCATCTTGCTTTTAATATATATTATGTAATAATTTTGACTTATTTTTGCTGCCAAAGAAGTATTAATTCTATACCAACCTTTTGAAAAATAATCAATTATTCTTACTGGATTCAAGTCCAGTTGTACTTTTTCTTTTAAATGTAATATTGAATAAAAAAATAGAGAAAGAGGAGATCCAATGTAAATTTTCTTCATGAGAATTATTAATGACAATTTTTATTCAATAGATACAAATACTATTCAGCTTACAAGTTTCATTTTTAAAAAATTTACTACTATAAAATTGTGTAGGTATTAAACAGCATTGTGCTTTAACTGAATGGATATACCCCAGTTTTGTTTTCTTACCGAACAAGGACATCTTGAATGTGTTGTATCTTATAGATGTGGTTGGTAATGGATTTATTTTCATGTTCAAAATACCAAAATATCCCCTTATTAGGTGGTATTCAATACCACTTAAAAGACAATATTAAGTTATTCAAAAATCTGTGTATTCATAGTCATTATTTAATCAATGAAAGATTTTACCCTGTCCCCCCTCACAGTTGCATCCCTTAAGTTCTCTCTTTAGCCTTCAATATTTCCTTCAGTAACCCTATAATTGTTAGAAATAATATTAATATAAGATTGAGTGTAATTTCTCCTAAACCTTTCAGATTAGGAACTCTGAAAAAATTAATAGGTCTCTTATATTTACAAGCTGGCTTACCGGACTTTCTTAGCAGGCTCTCTCTGCTATTATTCTTGCCCCTAAGTGTGTTAATTCATCATTCTTTTTCTGTCAGCTGTCTGCACTGTTAGTTGAAGATTTCCAAAATGCCTGAAGGGTGCACTGTCAGCTGCAGATACCTGAGTCAACATGGTAATATCAGTTGATTTCATTCTAGGCAGTACACACACACACACACACACACACACACACACACACACACACCTCTGCACACAGTATGCCTTGTAGAGGTACTTGGTACATTTCAAAATATAACCTTTTGTTACTGCATTTAAATGCCTGAAGCAGCACAGAATTTTCACAATAATATTTCTGCCCCTCAATTATTTTTTTTAATTCTAAAAGTTTTGGAACCAATATTCCCTAAGAGTCGCATTAAAAAAAAAATACACTCTTAATTCTCACAGTACTCGAATAGATTGCTAAGACATTTAATAGATTGTTAAAGCATCTAGTCTCTGCATTGTCTCACTTTTCTGTGCACTTCACCGTTCTTCTTATCTGAAGCTATACTTCTTTGGGAAACACATTCAGTGAATCAGTACGATGTATCATAAGGCACATCTTATTGATTTGAAATTTAAGTTAAAAAGTAAACTCTAATCTGTTTATGGTATAAAAAGAGGGAGAGATGGTAGATGGAACCAGACACATATTGAAACGAAAGAAATTCAGGGTCCAAAAGCAAGTTAAAGTCTATTGGTATCTCTACCTTGTCCCGCCTCATAGTTTCATCCCTTAAGTTCTCTCTTTAGCCCTCAATATTTTCTTCAATAACCCTATAATCAGTTAAATGGACAATCATGCTAAACATACACAGTTATGGACTGATTTGCTTCTATCCTTGTTTACAGTATTTTCCTCCAGCAATGGCTCAAATCCATATCTGAGAATATTAATATACACAACTCTGAGAATTTAAGTATCTGACCATTTGCTATGATTTGATTAAAATTAGTTAAGTATTGTTATGACAAGTAGGGCTTACTCTAGAACCCATGAATCAAAGGTCCTGTTTGTCCTACTTGATATCAACTCCCATGGCAAGAAATATGAGAAATTATATTAGCATGTCTCATGGTTTAGTCAGTGATTCATGTGAGTAAATCTTTTTTTTTTTTAATTATAATGTGGATAGGGGCGCCTGGGTGGCTTAGTCGGTTAAGCGTCCGACTTTCGCTTGGGTCATGATCTCGCCGTTCATGGGTTCGAGTCCCGCGTCGGGCTCTGTGCTGACTGCCAGCTCGGAGCCTGGAGCCTGTTTCAGTCTGTGACTCCCTCTCTCTCTGACCCTCCCCTGCTCACGCTGTCTCTCTCTCTCTCCTAGAAATAAATAAAACATTAAAAAAAATTAAAAAAAATAAATTATAATGTGGATAAAGAAGTAATATTTGGACAAATATTTGGATAATAAGCTCTGTAGGTGTACGTACTACTATGTGAAATACCACTTTTTGTGGATTCAGAATCTTATACTCACTAACTGAAACATATAAAGCCTGGAAATCAGAACCATGTTTATCTTGATTTTATATAGTGTTTCAGTTATAAATTCAGAGATTTAATTTATTATCTCATATATTTGAGAGCATAGTCACTTCAGTCTCCCAAACAGCATATAGAATGTATCTTTCTTCATTATAAGCAGAAAGTTTTGGACAAGAGTATATTGGGGGATTAGATCACCTTTAAAGTATTAGCAAGGGGAATAGTCAGAAGTGGAGTTCAAGCTTCCAGATTTGGAGTAGCAAGCACAAGCAGCAGGATCTAGGGCAAGATGTGCCATGTGCCAAAGAAGAAAGCAAACTGGAAGTATCCTCAACAGGAAACCAGATCCAAAGCAAATCAAAAGTAAGAACACAAACCAGGGCAGAAACCAGCATCAGGGGAAACCCTTAAATCTCCATATTTCAAGCACATGTAGGCTAGAGATGAAAATCCCTAGAAGAGAAAAAAGTACTCAAGTGTCTGAAATTTGCTGACTGATGTTTCCTCCTTTACTAATTCTGACTTGTATGTTTATTACTAGAAGTTGAGTCTGTCTTTCTCTTTGAAAGTTTCTGATCTGTGATCATAGTAAAGAATAGGTTTTCTGTAATCTTAATGCAAAATGGTTTACAAGAGGAATCTAACTTGTTCAGAAATGCCATATGATTTTACTTATATGTGGAATTTAAGAAAGAAAACAAATGAACAAAGGGAAAAAGAGAGAGGGATTCAAACCAAGAAACAGACTCTTAACTGTAGAGAACAAACCGATGGTTACCAGAGGGGAGATGGATGAAATAGGTGATGGAGATTAAGGAGTGTACTTGTTGTCATGAGCACTGGGTGTTGTATGGAAGTGTTGAATCACTGTATTGTACACCCAAAACTAACCTTACACTGTATGCTAACTAATAGAAATTTAAATTTAAAAAATCATTGCCATTAACAATGTATCATTTTATCAGCCTTTAGTTGGAATGTTCTTGTATATGTTATGTATGTTTTACATGAACGTTTCTTCAATTAAATTCATAGATGTATGGCTTCATTAACATGTATTTTACAAGCATGAATCATTATATCTGTTCAGATGTGATTTTATTTTTCTTTGATGGTAAAATTTTTGTTTCCTAAGCTGGGGAAATAGACATTAATGGCATAAACAACAAAAGTTGTTACTCAGTTCATATTCTGAATGAGTTATATTCAAGATCATACCTACGAAATATCTTAGAAATGATTTTAAATTAAGAAAGGTTCATAATTCACTTTTTGAAAGTATATCACTCTTTTTTTTTCTTCTTTTCAGAAACCTGTGCTTTTTCTCAAGGTCATATAGCTCTGTATCGGATAGCAACAGAGCTTCAGCAATAAGAGCAGATGCCATCTTAGATTAATGTAAGTGAATTTTTTTTTTGCAATTTTTATAGTTTCTCTCCTTTGCACCCATTTTGACAGGGAACAATGTTGGGTTCAATGCCGGATGCCCTAGAGGTGCCCTAGAGTTATTTTAACGAATTCAATTTGCTTTGCTTTTCATGTAAGAACAGCTTTTCTTTTTAGATATTTTTGAGGTATAGCAGAAAGTATTCTTACATAAAATGTTTTAAAAAGTTTACTCTGTATAAACTTTCATTATAGAATCATAGAATTTTAAAACTAGAGACTACAGAGATCATCTGTTCCAGGCTTTTCAAGGCTTATGGTGGTAGAAAAAACTCTATTTACCACTCATTTCTGTTCTTTTTTTTTCTTTATTAAGTAGTGATTCTTGCCAATTTTTCCCACTTCTATTCCTTCTTTATGTCAGTAGTGGAGAGTTTAACTAGTTTTCTTGTTTGTAATATATTTTGAATTACAAAACACTGGAGTAGTCCAACTTTTTATTTTGCAGATAAAGAAACACAGGTACAGAAAGTTTAGTAATTACCCAAGAGCACACACATACCTGGTAGCTGAGGAAGACCTAGAATGTCCTAAGGGTTCACAAGTCCAGGACCCTTTCCCGCACGAAACCCTTACTCTGTTTCCTTGCTGTTTTTCTTTCCTCACAACCTTTATAATTTCTTGATTGAAGAATTCTGGTTCACCCCTGTCCATTTTTCTTCTTTGTGCTTGCTATTTGATTTTTATTTTATTTTTATTTGCTTTCTTTTTAATTTCAGTTACTTTTCTATATTTATATTTCCAATTCCAGAGTCCATATAAATGCTAAATCAAATTATGATTCACATATTATTTAATGCCTCAATTCCAGTTTTTATCTCTGGTGTCCTAGGTGATTTGGACACTGTCTTTCAAGCAGTTGTGTGCAATGGGACAGAGTTAAAGCTCTAGCTTCTCATGCAGACTCTCTGGGTAGAACTCTGGTGTCTTTATTTAACATATAATCTTGTTATTAAGCTGCTCTGTTGTAAAATTACCTCATCTGTAAAATGTGCATAATAATTTTACATGTCTCATAGTTTACAGTGTTAAATGAGTCAATATGTGAAAAGTGCTTAGTACAGGGCCTGATACATAAGAGCATTTAGTAAGTGGTAGTGGTAGCTGTTGTTAAAATTTCCTCTTGCTGTTATCATCTAGCCACACTTCCTTCTATTATTTGAACATTCTTTTCTAAACTAACTTTCTCTCTCTCTCTCTCTCTCTCTTCCCCTCTCTCTCTCTCTTTCTTCTTTCTTTCTAGAGAGTGCAAGCATGCTGGCTTGAAAGGAGCAGAGGGAAAGGGAAAGAGAGAACCCCCTAGGGTGGATCCAACCCAACGCTTGATCTTGCAACTATGAGATCCTGACCTGAGCCAAAATCAAGATGGAATGCTTAACCGACTGAGCCACACAGGTGGCTATTATTTCCTAAGCTTTTAACTCTCAAGATTTTACTCTTCATTTAACTTTCTTATTCAAGTGCTTCATGGGGTTGCCATCTTCTTGACTTAAGATTTTCAATTTATATGTTAATACTCAAAGAGATCTTACCTGATCCCAAAATATCACATCCACTTTGTTTTTGTCACATTAAAACCTTTTTGTTTTCTTCATATCAAATTTTAGAACTTATGTTTTTGTTGGTTTATTTATTTATAAGCCCCTTTATGTTGTGCATTCATGAGAATGATAAATTGTCTACAGTAATTCCAACTCATTAGAGTAGCTTAAGAGTAGCTATTCATTACCCAAAATGTATAAAGAACTTATAAAACTCAACACCCAAAAATAAATAATCTAATTAAAAATGAGCAGAAGAAAGAATAGATGTTTTTCCAAAGAAGACATACAGATGGCTAACAGCCATATAAAAAGATGCTCAACATCACTCATCATCAGGGAAATACAAACCAAAATGATGAGTTATCACCTCACACCTGTCAGAATAGCTAAAATTAACAACATAGGAAACAACAGAGGTTGGTGAGGATGCAGAGAAAGGGGAGCACTTGTGTACTGTTGGTGGGAATGAAAACTGGTACAGTCATTCTAGAGAACAGTATGAAATTTCCTCAGAAAGTTAAAAATAGAACTACCCTGTGATCCAGCAATTTCACTACTAGTTATTTACCCAAAGAATACAAAAATATTGATTCAAAGGGATTTGTGCACCCCGATGTTTGTAGATATTTATGATTATCAACAATAGCCAAAGTATCGAAAGAGCCCAAATGTCCATCGATTGATAAATAAAGAAGATTTGGTATATAGATACAATGGGATATTGCTCAGCCATCAAAAAGAATGAAGTTGTTGTGTTTCCAGTGACATGGATGGAGCTAAGGAGTATGATACTGTTAAATAAGTCAGAGAAAGACAAGTAGCATATAGTTCCACTCATATGTGGAATTTAAGAAACAAAACAAATGAACATAGAGAAAAAAAGAGAGAAACAGACTCATAACTGTAGAGATCAAACTGATAGTTATCAGAGAGGAGATGCATGGGGAAGGTGGGTGCAATAGGTGATGGGGGTTAAGGAGTGCACTTGTGATAAGCACCAGTGTTGAATCACTGTATATTAACTAATATTACACTGTATATTAACTAGCTAGAATTTAAACAAAAATTTAAAGAGTAGCTACTCAGCATCAGAGTTTGAATAGCATAGAATAGTAGACCTACAAAACTGCTGTCAAGTGAATGAGATTATTGTTATTTGTCTTCTAAGTATTTTCCTTTAAAAGTCATCAGTTTATCAGATATTTGTAGATCTCTGAAAAATGTAAGTAGAAAGGTGAATAAATATAGATAATTTAAGAATCAAGGAGAATTATTTGAAGAATTAAGACAGATAATAGAATTCATTTCCAGAAGAATGATTTCCCTCTCATTATTTAGTATGGCTTCAATAATTCTTTATGTTGGTGTCTGGTACCTAGCCTTGTTTGACTTGGCAGTGAAGTAAAAAAGTACAGTGAGATAAACTTCTTTTGGACTCTGCACTTGGATGTGTTTTTACTGAAGATATTAGAATAATATCCCCAGTGAAGACTTCACAATATGTATACAGACACAGAAATAATGATTAATAGCATTACTTAAAAACATACAAAGTGAGATGTACATTTTATGAGTTCAGTAAACATGTTGATGGTGTGAATGAATGAATAAGATGGACTAAAAAGCAGAATAGATCTATTTCACCTAGATATTCTAGTATTTTAAAGAACTATAATACTTTTTTTCATAATAATTCGTTGTCTACATTTAGAAATATATTTGCTTCTAAGTTCCTAAATATGAACTATGCATTTTTTATAAATAAGGGGTTCAGTTGTGTGTTGAAATATTAGGTATAAACAAAATAAAGTGACAAAAAATGTAGAGTAACAACTATATGCTTTATCTGTTATATGAGACGTTGGATTTTTTTTTAATAACAAAAATCATGAAGCCTTGGTGTTTCCCTCTTTGATATATTAGATCCTTTGCTTATTTGCCTTATTCACATATATAAAACATAATCACATACCTTATTTCATATGACAAAATGGTAAAATTAACTTTCAATTCTGTAGGTTTGTTATTTTCAAATTTCTTTGCTTTACTGATTTTTAAAAATTTTAGTGTTTCATTTTTAGTTTGTTAAACATGATATTTTGTAATTTTTATTATAAAATGTTTTGTTTGTATAATTTTTATACAAATAATTTAACCTCCCAATGTCATCAATAATTAAAGTGTTTACTATTTTTTATATATTTTTAATTTTTTTGAGAGAGAGAGAATGAGTAGGGGAGGACAGAGAGACACAGAATCCAAAGGAGACTCCAGGCTCTGAGCTGTTAGCATAGAGCCTGAAGAAGGGCTCAAACCTGTGAACTGTGAGATCATGACCTGAGCTGAAGTCAGAGGCTCAGCTGACTGAGCCACCTAGGCACCCTGAGAGACCTGGTTTTTAAAGTATGGGTTGATACTTTAAGATTACAGAATGCACAGGGATGCCTGGGTAGCTTAGTCGGTTAAGTGTCCAGCTTTGGTTCAGTTTATGATCTCATGGTTTGTCAGTGCAAGCCCCACTTCAGGCTCTGTCTGACAGCTCAGAGCCTGGAGCCTGCTTTGGATTCTGTGTCTCCCTCTCTCTCTGTCCCTCCCCCATTTGTGCTCTGTCTCTGTCTCTCAAAAAGAAATAAATGTAAAAAAATTTAAAAAATAAAATAAAATGAGTTGCTTGTAGGCAGCATCTAGATAGGTCTTTATTTTTTTCTTTTTAATAAATTCGGACACCCTCTGTCTTTTGATTGAAGCATTTAGTCCATTTAGATTCAGAGTACTTATTGATAGATACCTATTTAGTGTCATTTTATTACTTGTTTTGTCATCATTTCTGGAATTTTTTAAAAAAATTTCTTTCTAGTCTTTGTCATTTTTGGTCTTTCCTGCCCACTCAGAGTCCATTTATTTAATTTATTTATTTATTTATTTTAATTTTTTAAAATTTTTTGCAGGGCTGATTTAGTGGACTTCTTTAGTTTTTGTTGGGAAACTTTTTATGTCTCCTTCTTATTCTGAATGATAGCCTCACAGGATAGAGTATTCTTGGCTGCAGATTTTTCCCATTCAGCACCTTGAATATATCATGCCACTTTTTTCTGGCTCTCCAAGTTACTGTGCATAGATCTTGTGCTAACATTGGGTGTCTTCCCTTGTAAGTTAGGGATTTCTTTTGCCTTGCTGCTTTTATGATTTTTTTTTGTCATTATATTTTACAAATTTAAGTACTATATATCTTCATGTTGGCATGCATTTCTTGATCCTGATGGGAGTTCTCTTTGCCTCTGGATATGAATATCCATTTCCTTCCTCACGTTAGGAAAATTTTCAGCTATAATTCCTCAATTAAAGGTCCTGCTCCCTTTTCTGTCTCTTCATTTTCTGGGACCCCTATGATAGAGATGTTACTATGCT